AAACAAAAGACCAGCAAAATATCGTAATTAGATTGTGATTTATCTTGAAATAAGACCGGATACTTTTGATCAAAATCCGAAATTTGCTTCTGTCGTGTTACCAAAACCATTTCGGAAATGCAGCAAGGATATAAGTAAGAAACCGATTCTATAAGCCAGTCAAAATACAAGCTTTATAAAAACAACCTCAAATGCATATCAATCAATATATACGGCATAATACGATAAAGGCTGAGACTATAATATTAAAAGGAAAAATACAGAAACTATTTTGCATATAAGCGGGAGGTTTCACTAGCCATAAAATCAGGTTCAACACACCATTTGTTCTTAAAATGTCCTTTACCAAGTCAGGAATATGGCAGTTGTTATCAGACAATTTGTTTCTATGTATGTTGGCGTTTGCTTTTGTTGTAGTTCAGTGTTTCTGTTGTTCCGTTGTTTTCCTCTTATTGTTGATGTGTTTCCCTCGGTTTTAGTTTGTTACCCGGATTTGTTTTGCTTAATCGAATTGTGACTATTGAACAACTGTATAATTCTGTTGCCTTTATTTGGAACCAATTATTTCTTTTTTGTTCATTGAATACCATAAAATTTACATAGCTGAATTTCCGGATTATATAAATCGAACGTTCCGGAAATTTTCTCAAACGTAAGCTCTAGAATATCGTATCAACTGGGAATAATATGCTCTATATGAATGCGCTGCTGTAATGTTGCTTCACGAACGAGAAAGTTTTGGAGGAAGTAGAAATCATCTCTTGTGTCGTTAAGTTTTGTACCCATCCGGCTGACATTGTCAATTTCTATATAAGGGTCAAGATATAAGGAATGATTATTGTCTCTGAAAACAACAAAGAGCACAGAAATATTTACTTAACATAATGTATTATAATTATAAGATCGTTTCATTAGCTTGTTGTGATAAAAGTTGTAAAGCCATTTTTGAATGTATATGATAAAAACAATATCAGCCAGCAAATATGAAAACTTATAGAAGGACACTTTCTCGTGTTTTGTGGCGAGATGTTGCTAAAACTCGAAAGAAACTTAAAGGGTGAATTAGATAACACTTGACTTGCCACTGAATAATGGTAATATAACAAATGCATCTTAATTGTCGATTCCTCATTTTGATTGATGATCATCTTTCATTGTGTCATTCTCCGATTTATAGTGTAATGATCACTCGAAGTTGAAAAGCTATTTTTTTGCTTTTTAAAGTTTTCCGTTTTCAGAAACACGTAATTTGCATTCTCAAATCGGCATTCTACATCCGTTACTTAAAACATTTCATGTAATATTTTGCTGTTTTTTGTTTTTGTGTTTGAACAACTGGTATTTATTATTATATTGAAAATGTTAAGGTTTATTAATTTAATTGATAGCTCCAGTACGTACCTACTACATTGCTGCAATAGAAAAAGAATGGGATTATGCTCCTTTAAAAGAAAATACATTGAATAACGATATGAGGTAAGTTATTTTTCTTTCTAGGACAAACTTATTATAATTATGTATATAATATTTTGTTCAAATATTTCATTTTAGTAAAAGTAATGTCCCGTTGGTTAGTTGTACTTGTTATTGGAATTCAGTCTTAAGTGATCATTTTTATTTTAACTTCATTTGAAAGGTCTAAAACTACAAAGCGTTAACTTTTGTTAAGAGTTTAAGTTAACTCTCAGATTTTGTCGTGATGTAAATTTAGCACTGTTCAGTCATTGTAATTGCAGTCAATTCAGTTTAGTTCAGAAGCTATTCAGGCAATCCAGTATTTTATTGTCGTGTCCAGGTAAAAAAACAAAACAACTAATGAACAGTCTTAATAGAGACTGAACAGAGACTGAACAAATCTAAACTGCCAATGTTATCTCCATATTTTTAGATGTGGAAGCAGATATTTCTGTGTTCAGTAAAGAGTGTTCTGACAGTTCGGTGTCATTATCAGGATAAATTATATTGATTAAGCATCAGATAAGTTATTGTCATAGATATCCCCCTCCTTGCTTCATATCGTCCATCTCGGACCAAGGACACTGCGGCAGAAAATTTGTATGCTCATCTATTTTCCACAATTGAAGCAGAAGACAACAATGCACTTTTAACGTTAATGCATAAAATATAAAGTAAAAAAAGAAGACATGAATTTTTCATTTTTAATTCATACTACTTGAAAGAATTAAATAAAAAACATAAATGTAAAATAACGATAGTTCACGTAAGGCCAAGCAGTACGTCTAAAAATGCATATGCAATACATAAATCTATAGGTCACGTAAGTTCAAGCAATACGACATTGGCAATTAATACACAAAAGTAGTCCGGCAGTTGGCGGAGCATACACGTATAGTACTAGTATACAATTACTGCAGAGCGATATCTGCTAGGTTGTTAATGTATGATAGGAGACCCAATTGGAGGATAAATATGGTTTCCCTGAAGATTGATATGTTTTATTAATAAAATAAAAAAAATACCAAGTATACAACTTTGGTAATATCTACAAATCAAGAACAACGCCTGGTTGAGATAGAACCTTTTTTAAAAAGAGAGGCGAAAGATACCAAAGCGACATTCAAATTCATAAGTCGAAAATCAACTGAAAACGCCATGGCTAAAAAAGAAACAGACAAACAGAGAAACAATAGTACACAAAAACAACAAAGTAAAGACTGAGCAAAATATGACATTTTTTTTTTTTAATTATAAATTTTCAATTATGTGTAACAACATTTCACTAGCACCTGCGTGTGAATATCTATACGTTGATACCTTATTTGTGAGCACTTGTAGAATTTATGAAATATTGCTTCTTTCTTGAAAGACCGCGAATCAAGGATTCTTTATGGTATAGTTGAAAATTATTTACTCAACACGATTTGGTAGACCTTTATAGAATACCTGCATCATATATGGTAGCAGATACGTCTGATATATCATTTCGAAGTTCTTTGCCTTCCTTGGCCTTGGCATGCCTTTTCACTCAATGTGACTTATCACAGACGATGGATAGGGCTTTTGATCTGTTTAAGATTACTGTAACTCGTATTAAAAACTTCAGTAAACCCATGAAGACAACGTCGCTTTTGCTCAAATTTTTATTCAACTGATACTAATATATAGTTTTCAATTTCTTTTGATTGTTTAAAGCATTGCTAAAAGATTTATATACAATGGAGGCAGACAGATTGGCAGCAGGTATAAAAAAGTTATTTACACGCAGTTTACAGACGGAACATTTACAAGGGAAATACCTTCACCGAAATGGAGTGGCTTCCTTGGTCCAACACTTAAAGGAACAGTTGGTGAAAAAATACGTATTCACTTTAGAAATTTTGCAAGCAGGCCATACACTTTACATCCTGAGAGTAACGTTTGGTACAATGATGATAGTGAAGGTAATTATTATTTGAATAATTATATTTCAATTTGATAAGGTTTTGAGTAATTCTACACAACAGCGGAAAAGAATTAAACGATTAAAATGTCTAATGTCTCAAAATCTTTCTAATTTTGAGTATTTCCATACAACTTTTGATTGATTTCAAACTTTAAAGTTTATAGTAATGTCTATACAACTCTAGATTGTCCTAAAATCTTTCAAGTTTTGAGTAAGTCTTTAAAACGGCTGATAATAAAGATAACAATAGCCACGAGTATGTTGACCGTTTTGGAATATTAGTCTTACTCATACCTACGGATGTGTTCGACTGTAGTAATCATAACACCGTCCTCTATTCTTCGTGTAGGCATCACCAAACTAAACTGATTACAGAGTTAGTACTTACATGAGCAACACGACGACGGGTGTCACATAAACAGCAGAATATGTGTACCCTTTCAAAGCACCTTGATCACTCTAATGTATTGGTTGGGTTCGGTTTGATCAGTCTTGCATCGTTTATATCATTATTCTCTTGTCAGTTATACCACTGACATTTCTTACATGCATGCAGAAAGAGTGTGAAAAATATGTGTACAGTATATTTTTTCCAAATTATGATTGTGAAATTTCTTTAATGCAATATTTCCCTCATCAAGATACATGAATATATATATATATATATATATATATATACATCACTGAAGAAACATTAATTGTCGAAATCCGCATATGGTATACAAATTTTTGCACCTCATGTTTGCGGTATACCATCTTTTCCGCAAGTTTATTGTTTTCTGTTTGGTATTAAATTAATAATTAAGATCCATTTTGTTACATCTGTGATCCGTTTATTTGGCAATCGCCATGGCAGTCAGCAGGGTTTAAGAACAACCGTTGTTCGACCTGCTAGTCAAATGCGTTTTGTTAAAAATATACTTTTTGACTTTTTTGTTCTTTTCGAAAATGTTGTTTTATCCTTTACTTTGTACTTATACATAAACAAGTCTAAATTGAAAAGAACGTTCAAACCTATGATTGCGTTGGATAAAAACCGCAATTTTTTTTTACGTGTGCATGTATAAAATTGCGGTTTTTATCCAACGCAATCATAGGTTTGAACGTTGTTTTCAATTTAGACTAATACATAAACAAGTCTAAATTGAAAACAACGTTCAAACCTATGATTGCGTTGGATAAAAACCGCAATTTTTATACGTGTGCATGCAAAACAAATATCTTGGTAGGGGGTCTAAATACAGCACAAACAACATTTTCCAAAAGACCAAAAAAGTGAAAATGTATATTTCAACAAAACGCATTTTATATATATATATAAATATATATATAAAATATATAAACGCCTAAAGGTGTACAAAACAACACCAATATTTAAAATAAGGAAACATTAAATGTAAGTATCTATAAATATTTCGGATAACAGATATATATAATATATATATATATATATAAGTCTAAATTGTAAACAACGTTCAAACCTATGATTGCGTTGATTAACAAATTTCTTGGTAGAGGGGTATATACATATGTATATATTTCCTGTAAAATTTGTGTTTAAATGACACAATTTACTTTCAATAGGTGCTCTGTTTGACGATGGCACATCTGAAGCTCAAAAACGTGACGACCAAGTACTACCGGGTCAATCTTGGACATATGAGTGGGAACTTAGAGCAAATTTTGGTCCGACCGATGATGATGAAAATTGTATTGGAGTTCCTTACTCCTCACATCATAGAGCATATAAAGATAGGGATACTGGTTTGGTAGGAATGATGGTGGTTTGCAAACCAGGTAAGCGGTAATGTTATGAGAGGTATTTGTCAACAAATCCTTTAAACTGAAAAGTCTACTTAAAATTAAAAACTATTTTTCGCTTAATTAGTAGGAAACTTTAAAATTTCAGAAGTAAAATGACGTACAGCATTAAGGAATAACATCACTAATTAATAGCCCCATTGCTTTCTCGGTTATATTCTGCAACTTCAAGACTTTAAGTTAAAAAAAGAAACAGTCCAAACTTTACCTTATCCTGATTTGTGCTGAAAATTCAACATACCTTTAACAGCATATTAGAACGCACTGGTTCCCGGAAGATCGGTAGTACAAAAACAGGAACTTCTGATCTGAGCAACATGACAAATATGCTCTCCAAAATAAATCTATATATTTTCTTACACTTAAAAAAAAACAAGGGTTCTGCAGTGATCCCAAGTCCTTGAGCTTCGATTTGTTACCAACATTATTCAAATATTTCACGTATTGACAAAGAAACAGATATGCATATGCATAAGAACTAAATTGTTTCAAATAGGTAATACTTTCTTGAAGGTTCTTTCTGACCGGGTCATATTTAATGGCTCTTTACCTGAAACGACATAAAAATAAAGCACTACAAACCAGTAAAAGACTGAAATGGCTTATATCTGTACTCGACTGTACTGGTTTTTACTCCACCATTCTGAATTGTTCTGAATGCTACTCGATATTACTCGACTGTAGTCTGAACCATACTTAACAGTCTGAATTTGTACTCGACCTTTCCTCGACCAGTACTTAACCATTTTATACGAGTCAGAACCATAGTCGACCAGGTCTTTACCATTCTCGACCAAGTATGAACCATACTCGACCTAGTCTGAACCATGCTCGACCTAGTCTGAACCATACTCAACCCAGTCTTAACCAACCTATACCTATTTCTGTATATATCTATATCTGTATTTCATCAATTAAGGAACTATTTTCAACAACATTTATTTCCCTTGTCTAGAAATTTGAATAATATAGCATTGAAACCAAAATTTCACAATAAATATCGTATAATGATCAACACAATTATGATCAACACTTACATAATATATATCAGCATAGTCATTTATATCTCTGTAATATTGGCCAAAGGACGTTGCAAACGTCAATCAAACATTTTGTAATTAAATTAATAATCTTGAACTTCATCCAAACTTTGAATTATTTACAAGGCAGCAAATCTTTGTAAAAAAAGTACCTGGATAGATGCACGCTCTATGAAGCTAGTTTTTCTTAGCAAATCATTTTTATTTTTTACCGCATTGTAAATATTTTTAACATTTTAATATTTGCATACCAAATAGTGTGTTAAAATTACGTTGTAAGGCAATTTATAATTTTATTTGTGTAATTGTATTAATCTTTGTACTGATTAATCCACACTCAAATAGATTTGTATGTTATGTGTTGCTATATATATATAATTATTTTAAATATCAGCACAACGATGTTAAATCTGCAAATTTGCGAAAGCAAATTTTTGTTCTTCCCAAGCCGGGTTTCGAACTCATTTTATTGGGATATCGTGACAATACCGCCTGCACTGTGTCCAGCGCTCTAGACCACTCGGTCACCTAGACTGAACTAAAAAATACAGCTTTCGGTGGCCTAGTGTTACCTTTCCTCGTCAGTAGAATCTAGAGTTGGAGCACAGTACAGGATATGTTAGGCATGAACATGGAATTGATTGCAGATTAGCTAAATTATCTGTCGTAAAGGATCGTAAGATGCAGTCACAGAAATAATTATTTACGTCTTAACAAGTGACAACTCTACGTTCTTCCCTCGCCGGGAATCGAACTCATGCTATTGGGATATCGTGACAACACCGCCTGCACTGTGCCCAGCGCTCTAGACCACTCGGCCACCTAGACTGAACTAAAACATTCAGCTTTCGGTGGCCTAGTGTATATATATACAATGTATACCCTCTAATATAAAAATAAAAACAAGATGATCAAGGAAGTTATTTCTGGTCGTATTAAAAAAAAGTATGTAATAAATTAAGTTTTCGGCTAAATGAATTTTCAAATACATGATAATGTTCACAGTGCATTATGTACATCAAAAGTACTTGAACTTTCAACCATTATTCAAATATTTTAAATGGTATTCAAATTTTTTGAAGGTTTCAGATATATTTTATGGTTACTGAAAAATTTTAAACACTAACTTGAGCCTGGTATAAATTTATGGTATCTGTCGAGTTTTTCATATTGTATATAAAGGAACTTAATGAATTTTGAATATGACGCCATTGTTTTGTAAAACCAAAAAATTAATATAATAGAACTTCCATAGCAATTCCTGATAACCTTTTAAAAAAGGAACTTGTTCCAATTCCAAAGTTGCAGTAAATATTTAGGTTGATTATTTAAGTTTTGTCAAATTTAAGGACAAGGCATACAAGAAGCACCTTAATAAGGTTAAATTACCCTCAGTTCAGTTGTGTTTTTCAGGGAAAAGAAAATCTTTTTTTCACCCCTCAGACTTTAAAATTAGATAATATGACTATCTCCTTTTGATAAATCTGAAAATCATGTAATGATGTATAAATCTGTAGATATATCTTTACTTTATTGTGGCTGTTGCCATGTCAGTCAAAAAGATTGTTATATAAACAGTTAAAATTACAAAAAGTAAAGGTTATTTGGTCAAGTATGGTTCAGACTAGTCGAATATTGTTCAGACCTTTGGTCGAGTATGGTTAGACTGCAAAAATAGGCAAAGAAATGGTCGAGTATTAGTCGAGTACAGGTCGAGAATGGGTAAAGACTGTTTTATACTGGTCGAGTAATAGTTCAGACCAATTTTTAATGACAAAGATAAGGGTCAAGTACAAATCAGTACAGTCGAGTATGTTAAAGATTGGAGTCGAGTAGTATCGAGTAAAATTCAGACAAATTCAGACAGGTCGAGTAAAAATCAGTACAGTCGAGTACATATTTAGGCCATTTCATACTTTTACTGGTTTGTTGGTTTGAAGTGAAGGCATATACAGAACATTCTAAACGATTTTCATTTTATACTGCAGGAATTTTACGGAAAGATGGCAGTCGCGTAGATGTTAACAGGGAATATGTTTTGTTCATGGGTGCCGTTAACGAAAGCAACAGCTGGTTGATAGAAAAAAATGTACATCGCTGTGGAAACCCTGCTGAATGTAGATCCTTAGTGAAGTGTGGGAATAAAGACTTTATTGATTCTACTGTATATCAACAGGTAAAATTCTTTAACTGTACCGAATGTTTTAAATTTCACAACTGCAACACGGCAATATGCGCCTTTACTATTGAGTTATTTGTTTGTATTTTCATTTTTATTTCATGTATTTTTGTGAGGATTAGGGAAATGGGAAGATATGGATGTTTTCAAGTTCGACCGAGAAACAGTTTAATAATTCAATACAGATATTTGGATTTACTTGATATTGATACAATAAAATTTATAATGACCGAAATTTGTTCAGGTCTTTAAACAAACTATTCACTGTTGTCATAAGAGCACAAATGAAATGCTACAGAAAATGTGAGTTGCTGACATTAAGAACTATATATTTTTCACAGATAAACGGGTATATTTATGGAAATGGTCCGGATTTTGAAGTTTGTTCTGGAGAGAAGGTGGTTGTTTATGCCTTTGGAATTAACACTGGAATACAAACATTTACAATTTACGGAGGAACACAATCATGGGTAAATAAAAGGTAAATAAAGCCTAAACAAAAGAAAAGATTCAAGTATATTATTTTTTACATGTTTGAATGTTCGCTGATAGATAAATTACAATGTTAATATTGACATTGTGTTACAATTGGTCTTCATTTTTGAAGAAAGTGTTCCAAGGCCTGAGTGTATTAGCTACGGACATATAAATACTATTTGCAAGTACTTTCTTATCCAAAGTTTAAACTCATCAAGAGAAATATTAAATTCACTAAATCTTTTTCAATATGTTTGAATTTCTACGAGGAAATTGTTTGATTATATATCATAGAGAAATGCAAGTTTGTCTCTGATAGAAGAGATTTTTTGAATTGGTTTTCTTTTATTATTTCAGTTTTTTGTTTATTACATGTTTTTATAACGGCAATGGGAAAGCAATCTCAAAATCAAAGTATTTATTTACAAATTATAGTTCATATTATGAATTTGCAAGGTAAATGCATGCGTTTTATTTTTAACAAATGTATAACATGATATGACACAAGATTTTTCATTACCAATGTAGATCTGGGGGCATTAGTATACAACCTGGAATTGCTAAAGTAATCAGTGTTAATCCAGAAGGTACTGGACGTTGGTTGATGGGTAATACCAATCTCCACAGTTTTCAAAGTAAGTATGCTAAAAGTTGTTTGTATGCTACGTTGTAATTGCATTATATTCTAATACATGCACTCGCCACAATAATTCACCCTGTAATAACGTATTTGGTAAAATATTTATTTAGAATGCTCATGAAAAGTGAAATACACGATATATATATATATATATATATATATATAAACACGTGCATAATATGAAGAAGTTGAGACAAGATGTTAAAAAGAATTGTCAGTATAACATATCTTTCAAAGTAAATTAATAATGGAAAGATAAATCGCAAGTTTTTAAGTTCACAATTTGAATAAGTTTAATCTTTTAAAATGACAGAGTAAAAGACAATGGATATTGTCAAACATGTTTCTCTAATTATACGGTATTGTTGGAAGCAGTTCAGTGACAACTTTCTTCTTTGTTTTAAGGTACAATACTACCTGTGACATACTCTGATTGATGGTGGCCATAAAAACTATGTCCACCATGATGGCCCTATATGTCCATCATTATATCTCATGTTGCTTAATTAATACACAAGGTATTAATAAAATACTAGTCGAGGGTAAAGGGAAATCATGATTGCATTTAAGTGATGAAATTGAATAGCTTACCGGTAAAGTGTCTCAGGTACACTGTAAATGTACATGTATTTGATATGTCTCAGGTAAAATATATGTGTTTGTCAAATTTAATTACTGTGATAATAACAAGAAAATCATAAAAATGAAAAATATAATAAAAGTAATTGACCATATATCTCAATAATATTTTAAAAAAAAATGTCTCATGAACTCAGTTTTTATATGTAGCTTATACTGCCATGACTGTTTGTTTTGCTGTTATACCTTTTAAATACCTCTCAATTAAAGTTTAATTGAGTTATTTCTTACATGTATTTTTTGGCAAATGAAGAATAAAAGAATTTCATCTATTATTTATATAATTTAATGCAATTTGCACAGTCTCCAATTTCTCTGGATCTTATAATGATTGCCTTTAAAATGAAAAGGTGTTTCTTAAATATTTTTTTCTAAAATCAAAATTGTTTAGATTTAGAGATACATGTACTGATATCCATTCAACATTAATTAACAACTGTTTAAGATTATCTTTAGGACTTTATTGTTATAAAATTTAGGCAATTCATTTTTTTCTCTATTGACATTTCAAAATATTCCTTACTTCAAAATTTTAAAATATCTTTATTGTCATACAAATATGATTATCTTGTGAAAATAACAAAAACAAACATAATAACGCAAAGAAATAACAATTCTTTAAGGAATGAACACATGGAACAAAATTATAAGACTTCTGTCCTCAGTTCTAATGACTGTTTTATAAAGGAGCCAATATTTTTAACATGTTCCATGAAAGATGGGTTAAGCATTTCTTTCACTTTTTGTTCTTGGGTAAGAGACATAATTATGAGAGGATAAACAATTTTCAAATAGATTATCCCTTAGTTTTGTTTGTTAATTTTACATTCAAGAAGGAAGTGTTTTTCATCCTCCAGCTAGTGGCACAGTTTACATATTCTATTCTTTGGAGGAATTTTATAATAGAGACCTTTTTCTATTTCTAAATGATGGTTACTAATTTTTTACTAAGTGAAGCATTTTCTTATAGAAAAGTCATTGGACGCTAAATAAAATTCTCTATTCAAGTTTAGTTTAAAATTTTTATAAAGTAACAGTTTACTATTTTCATCATAACTTTTTATTCTATTTCTAAAAATATTCTTATATTTTTCTTTAAATTCATTTTTAATCAAGGACTTTAATCTATATATGTGTACTTTATTTTTCCTGGAGAATATTTTTGCTGTTAACTGACAGAAATTAACCAAACTGAATATGTCGTATTTGATTAGTTTTCAATAGTTTCAACAAACAAGACAATTTTTTTTTAAATAGTTCCTTTCATAAGATTAACTATATTTAGAGATGAGGAAATTCTTCATTAGCATTTTTATTGAAGATTTATCTAAGTTTCATGATATACTATAGTATATTCTGAATGTAGGACAGAAAGTTACTGAACAAAAAGTACAATACTAACTTATCTGCACTAGATGGGCATTTGGAAAATTAAAGTCTCTTCAGTGATACTACAGACACAACTCTTGTTTTGAGATTTGAAAAAATTTTTTTTTTTTTCAAAATCATATTTGTAGTTTTCCTGATTAGTAATACATTGAACATCTTTGTAATCAAAATTTTTTGTAAAAGAATTGTTAATGGTCATTTTATTGTTAAGAATACAAGCTTGTTAAATTACTGACTTCATGGTGCCTATTAGCATATCATTTGCATGATTAAAAGTTAATAATAATTCATTTTATAATGAAAAATAACAATTGATTATAATGTACGTGGTGTACAATAACTTTTTTTTCCGAAAAAATATATCATTTCAAGGATTCTCTTTTTTTCAAATGCTAGTCATTTATTTATCTTTGACTTTTTGTCTTATCTACTTTGTGGCTTTCTGTCTGTTTACCTATATTTCTTAACACCATGAAGCCAGTCAAATAAAAACTTTAAATAAGCCACATTGACAGATAGTTTTAATGTATATTTTTTAATCATTATTATATTTTTAGAAGAGGTTTTGTATACCAGTTGTAGTTTTAGAAAAAAAAATTAAATGAAGTAAGTCTTTTGTAAATCACCGAAAGAAACAAAATATCATAAACTGAATTGAAGCTGTTTCATTTGACTTTTTTCCTAGTTAGTCCTTGGGGAAATGTAATAAAAACACCTTACTGTCTACGTCATAAGCTTCCATTATGAAAAAGATTCAAACGAATTTGTTGCAATGTATACACTTGACACTGCTTGAGAAAAGGGAATTAATTTGCATCATATGAACATTTTGAATGATAAAATTAGTATGTACAAAAATGAAAATTACTGCATTTTTACCTATGCATGTAGATGATCTCTAACCTTTGGAAATGAATAAATATATAAAAAATTCTATTTCAATCTTTAAACTAAACTTATTCACATATTGATAACTGACAATTTACCTGTACAAGTAAAGTGTTGATGCAGGATGTCATTTACACACCTTTTTTAATCAATAGATAAAATCAGTGCATCTCTCTATGTCACCTAACTAGATTGACCACCAGCCAATGGTTTATGTCCCCTATAAATGGCCAACATCACAGGTTTTATGACCCCCAATAAATGGTCACCATTTGATTTTCAACATAGCAGATGGTGAAAAATTTTCAGAGTATGTCACAGGTTGTACTGTAGCTAGCTGTCTCATTGGCAATCATGTCACATCTCCTTAGTAATCCTACGCACCAGTAAACCAATTTTGATCTGAAAAGGTCCATTCGATCTGAACAGATCTTGAAAAGATTGAAAAATAAACTATACGTCATTTTCAATTTTTCAGTCATTTTCCTGACCTATCTACTGCGGTAAACTCAGTGTTGTTCGACGATCCGCCTACCGCCAATTACGATATGTTCATTCTATGTTTAGACTGCTCAGTAGCTGTTATTTACCTGTACACATAACCATCATGGTCATTATTATAAATTAGGTAATTGCAAAACTTTCATTTTTTCGAAATACTAAGGATTCTACCCCAGGAATAGATTACCTTAGCATTATTTGGCAAAATTTTTCGGAATTTAAGATCCTCAATGCTCTTTAAATTCTTACTTATTTGGCCTTTTTAACTTTTGAGCGTCACTGATGAGTTTGTTTAAGACAAAACCCGTGTCTGGCGTTCAAAAATTCCATCCTGGTACCTATACTAAGTTTATTTTCATACCGAATTGTCGAAAATGCTTCCGAACAGTACTGAACTGACTGTAAGCGAATTGTCTGAACAGTACTGAAATTACCGCAGTGGATAAGTTTGAAAATTGAATCAAAGACTGACAATTTGTTGATAGTGTAAAAATCAAAATGACCGTATTAGACTGAAATTCATTGACTAGTGAAGTCAATAGTGATCTGATTATCTCATGCATATCGGTCTCCATAGAGATTCTATAATATTCAATTTCACTTTAAAATTAATTTTTGTAGTTTGATAATGGCTGTTTAAAAAAGTAATTATTCGAAAAGGTCTAAAAGTTTAAATTAAATACAAGACTTAATGTATTGGTAGAAAGTTTAGTATAACCATGTTTTTGTTCCCTTCAAAGTTGAAGGTTGTTAACTAAGATATTTGTCTTTTGTAAAGTTTATCTTTAAGTTTAAAGACATCATCTGCTCCTTGATTCTTAGCGGTGTGTGACTTCGAAAATCAATCGTGCCTTTATTTTTGCAAGGAGTGAAAACAATAACAAAAACAATAACTTTTCATACATTATTTAAAATATCTAAAATAAAGGAACAATAAGTCGTTATATTAAATAATCGTATACCTATCGATGCTTTTTTTTAAATTAAAATTTGAAAGGCAGATGGTATACCTCCTTACAAAGCAGTTCTTATAGGCAACGTTATAGAAAATTTCATGCATTATTCAGATTAACAAGAAAAGCACTTTAAAATCACATTTAAATATGCTTCTAACATCGCTACAAAATTACCCGGTAATTTATGATGAACCAGAGGTGTAATGTGTGCCTTTGAAAATAAAATTATTATCTTCTAGATGGTATGTTTGCATTTGTGAAAGTCAACCAATGCCCATGGATAAAACCACTTACAACAATACCTTCCGGTAAAACTGTTCGGATTTATATGGCAGCTGAAGACATTATAACTCGCTCTACACCAAATGGTATATTAGCTAGAGCAGGTCAGCTAACAAAGAAAAGAGCTATGTAAGTAAATATTTAATAATGTAGATTATGTTAAATGTAAAAAAAAACTACAAATAAATCTGTCACTTTGTTATTGAACAATATAATTACATTAGTATATAGAAACAATCTTTTTTATAGCTTAATACAGTATAATCATATTATAGCGTTTAATTTAACTAGTGTTCTAACAACTGGAAATCGAACTTTTTTTCAAAATTTCTGACAAATCATGTGATAGTAGCGGTATTACCTATTTGTGAAATTTTGTATATTGTTTAGAGAAAAAAGAGAAGAAAAATAACAAAGGGCCAATCCAAAATCATATATAAGTAATTTTTTGAGAGTTGGTGTGTTTCGATTGATAAGTTAGGATTCCTGGTTACAATACTGCCATATGCTTTGTTTAACCTTCTTCGTTTAATTGTATCAGTCATTTTAAGACCATTAAAGAATTTCTAATTATGATATTCATAACACAATTTGTGAAAAAGGAGACGACTTCTCAATCCATATGGCAAACTTAACTCACCTTGATGGGTTCATTCTGCACCCCCTACCGTTGCGTTTATGCCTAACAAGTTTTTAAGTAACGTCTCCGATTTAAATCATTTTTTTCTTTGTTGGTATATGCCTGTTCTGAGTCAGAAGCCTGTGATTCAGTGGTTGTCATTTGTAGCTGTATATCATATCTGTGTTTCGTTAATTATTTTGTACATAAATCAGGTCTTTCGACTTACATTTGCCATCTAAATGCCTTTTATAGCTTCTATGCAGTATGGGTTTTTATTCATTGTTGAAAGCAGTACGATGAATTTCTTTCTTTCTTTTATGAACATTTTTCAAATGTCTCCCTTACTTGCAGAGTGAGTGTATTTTTGAGCTCCGATAAATCTTCGATTTTCTGTTGTAAAACAGTCTTGGAGTCAAATTTTTTTTGGATTTTCGTATGCATAGAGGATTTTGCTATGTATTTTCTGTGTTTATAGACTTTCTCAGTCAGGAGATAGTGAGATTCTATTGACATTTTATCTTTGCGACATCTGAATTCAACTCACCAGTTTTTCAAAATGGCCAATATACAAAGAACACTATCGGTTCATTTTTATACTCGTGGTTTTAAGGGGATAACACACGATGAAATAATAAAGGAACTTGAAAAACAAATAAAATTAGAGAGTGTTAAATCCATCCAATTGACTGAAAAAAGCTGTGTTGTTACTTTAAGCAACCTAGATGCTAAAGAAAGGTTAGTACAGTGTGATTTAACAATAAAAAATAGAAGCGTCAAATTTATTGATGTAGACAACACAATAACAAACATAACAATCAAAGACCTTCCATATGAACTAAATGACTGCTATCTAGCTACACAGATGCTTCAGTATGGCAATGTCGTCCCGGGTTCAGTAAAGCGGGGATATATTCGAGGAAAAAATATAGAAAATGGTTCAAGATACATTCAAATCATTAATTGTGTTCCGACAATACCAAACAAAACAACATTTGGGAGATATGATGTCCGAATGTTTGCCGACAATGGTCGTACAGAATGTAAACATTGTAAACAAAGAAACCACCCTTCCTATGCTTGCAACGATAAACCAGATCATAGTAAGCGCTGCTATAACTGTTCAGAAATTGGGCATTTTGCACGAGACTGTCTTAACGAATCAAAATGTTCCTTCTGTAAAAAAAACGGACATGTCCGTAATGACTGCGTTGACTTTAAACACCATACTATGATCAAATCATATGGTAATTATGCTAGCGAAATTCTCGAAGGTAGAGAAGCTCAAGAAAACGACAAAAATGAAAGTCAGTCCACTGACCCCTTACAAGTGGCAACAAACCATCTACAAACACCTGATACATACCACACCAAATCAAAAGGGACAAACGTAATGTTAGGAGCTTCAAATTGTTTGAGAGTGGATCGATTTGAAGACAATTTAATCAATGCCTCTATAAATGGTGCTACCCTAGAAAAAATAGATCAGTGTTTGGGTGCGGCTTTTGAAAACCATCGTGTGAAAAGCAATGGTTCAAATGTAGGCAAGGTCATCATAAGCTTAGGTACTAATGACTTGAGTAAAAACAAACACGACAGTGATCAGGTGAATGTTTTTGCAACACAAGCTATAGTCAAAGTCAAACAAGCATTTCCGAATGCGGATATTGGTGTGTGTGGTATTATTCCGAGAAAAGGGAACAGTAACCATATTCACACAGTAAATGAAACAGCTACACATGTTAATAAATTTTTGGAAAAATTATGTCTCAAAGATGAAGTGCTGACCTATATAGATGTAGAACACATATTCACAAAAAATGGTAACGTGGTTAAGGCGCTTTATGAAAAAACAGATACCAGTGGAGTTCATATCACAATTGAAGGGGCTCAAACAATTCGAGTCAAACTACGTGAATTTCTTCACCCTAAGCTGTCACAAATCCAGCACACACCTCGTCCTGGTGACACCAAGCGCAAACTTAGTGACATATCGCTGACGCCAATGTCTGCAGAGAAAGAGAGTAAACAAAGTAAACAAGGTTCTCCGAATGAATATGAGTGATAATAGACAAACCGAAATTACTATCATATTTGTTACTTTTTAAGTAAATCTATAAAAACAAATCAATCTAAAAATGTTATTTGTACATATGTTTTATTTTACTGAATTGCATTCTTTGAATTATTATTATAGATTATTTTTCAATCTATTGTACTTCAAACTGAGTCGATGTATCTGTATTATTATATTTTTAGGTAGACAATTATAAATGTGTTCAGTAATAGTGTATTGTTATGTGTGGTCAATGACTCGTAAAATTGAAAGTAAACATAAAACGGTAGCGTTGATCGTGAACTTTCAAATAAATCAACGAGGCATAGCGGTGTTAAAATGTAAATCAAATCGTGTACTCTAAAAAAAAACTACTAAAGAATGTCGATCCAAATCATAACTTTGAATGTAAACGGCTTACGTGACAAAAAGAAACGTAATTTAGTTTTCAATTGGTTAGCTAACAAAAAATATGATTTAATTTGTCTACAAGAAACACATTGCACAGTAAATGATATAATACAGTGGCAAAATGAATGGAAGACAAATGGGGGCAATAAAAGTGTTTGGAATTGCGGAACCAGTGATTCGCGTGGTGTCTCTATTTTAGAAACCAAAAGTTGTCCCGGCGAAGTTGTGTTTGATAATACTAACTCGCAAAACGGTCGAATAATAAAATGCAGCATCAAAACGGAAAGTGCATTTTATCATATATCAAATATATATGCCAACAATAGTGGCATCGAGAGGAAACGGCTTTTTGAATCATTTCATAAATGTTTTGGTAATTTTAAAGACGATAGTGTAGATCATTACAATATTTTGGTAGGGGATTTTAACTGTACTCTTGACAAAACAAATGATAGAAATCCTTCTCATTCTCGTGATGATATTGGTACAAAGGAATTACTTTTTTTATTGTCACAATATGATCTAACAGATATATGGAGGGACAGATATCCAAAAGACAAACGGTATACGTTTCAGAGAGGAAATTCTAAGTCTAGAATAGACTATATCTTTTGTGATAAAAGTCTTTCAAATAAAGTTCACAATGTTGGTATCTCGCATTGTCCTTTTAGCGATCATGATCTTGTGTCGTTCAAATTAAAACTTGACGAAATACAAAGAGGCCCAGGTACATGGATAATGAATATAAATACAATAAAAAGTGAAGAATTTAAAAATGCATTTGAAATTTGGTGGGAAACCTGGAAAAATGAAAAAAATAGGTTCGAAAAAATTCAAGACTGGTGGGATGTAACAAAATCACAAATAAAAAAGTTAACAATGGAAGTAAGTAAAACCTTAAACAAAAATTCTCAAAAAAGTTATATTATTAACCTTGAACAGAAATTAGAAAAACTCAAATTAAATAGTATCACGTCTGGGGAGGTTGAAAATAAGATATCAGAAATAGAATCACTAATTAAAAACTACTATGAGAACAAATCAGAGGCGTCAAAAATAAGGGCGCGTGTAAAATGGGCGGAAGAAGGGGAAAAATCGTCAAGCTACTTTTTCAATCTCGAAAAGCAAAACGGAAAAAATAAATTATGGAGTCGAATAAAAACAGAAAATGGGCATTATAAATACAATATAGACGAAATACTAAATGAACAACTTAAATTTTACTCAAATTTATTTAGCTCCGAGGGATGGCATTTGGAAAGTGCTCAAGATTTAACAAGCCACATCGAAAACAAACTAAATGACGACGACAAACAATTACTAGACCGTGATATTACCGCGGAGGAAATAAAGAAAGTTCTAAAAATTATAAAAACAAATAAATCCCCAGGGGAGGACGGGATCATATCTGAATTTTATATAATATTTTGGAATATCATACAAGAAGAATTTTGTACGTTATTGCAAGAAATATTTAATAAAAAAACATTGTCGGACTCACAATATAAAGGAGTCTTAACATTACTATTTAAGGGCGGGGAACGAGAAAATATACGAAACTGGCGCCCTCTTACACTACTGAATTGCGATTATAAAATTATAGCAAAAATACTAGCAGAAAGACTAAAAATAGTCCTTCCAATGCTTATTCATCCCGACCAAAAAGGGTTTGTAAAAGGCAGACATATAACGGAAGCGAATAGAATGATACAGGATATCATAGAATATATTGATGATGAAGATGAAGAGGGTATGATTGTCTTTTTAGACCAACAAAAGGCCTTTGATAGGATGGAATGGGGATGGCTAGACTTCGTTATGAAGGAATTTAATTTTGGAGACAATTTCCGTGGTTGGGTTCAAATGCTATTAAAACGTGCAAAGACGTGTATCAAAACAAATGGTTACGTCTCAAAATATTTTTCAATTTCTAGATCAGCCAGGCAGGGGTGTCCTATAGCCCCTTTTTTATATATATTACAGGCAGAGCCCTTGGCCTGTGCAATAAGGGCAGAAAAAGACATTCAAGGCATTATATTGCCT